TTGATATTGTAAGGAGAAATTTTGTCTTGGTCACTTATGGGAGTGAAAGGGTTAAGAGCAATAGTCTGTAAATATTGAACCAGGTCAGATGGGCAGGTTCACAGATTTGGCTCAGATTTCATTTTAACTTATTTAGGGGTTCTAATCATGACATGTATATTTTGCACGGGAATTACCACTCATAGAGATGCTATCCTGGACTAATGGTGTTTGCAATTCACACTGTGTTTCCTTCAGATGATATTTCTGACACATCCATTTGAACCAGGCCAGATGGGCAGGTTCACTCATTTGGCTCAGACTTCATGTTAACTTGTTTAGGGGTTTTAATCATGAAATGGATATTTTGCACAGGGAAATACCACTCATAGAGATGCAATCCTGGACTAATGGTGTTTGCAATTCATGCTGTGTTTCCTTAAGTTGATATTTCTGACACATCCATCTCATAAGTAACCATTCAATGATGAAATATGAAGCACTTCTTCACCATTAATGGAACTCAGGAAAGAGCTCTACAGTAGCTGACCTCTTATTTTTCAAGAAACTAAAGCTTTCATATGTTTTCATTATCCTTTTTATTTTAAAGTTTTTTAATTATATTTCTAAATTTTGGGACACATGGCAAACATTTTTTTTCTTTTTTTTCTTTTTGACACACCCCTTCATTCCATGAAATTTCAGAAATTCCATGGCATTGAGCAAAATGAAAGATTTTTGTCAGATTATGGATAGAATCATATATCACATTTGAAACATTCAAGTCTTTCCAACAAATCTGTAAGGAAATATTTTGTTAACGATGTAAAATCTCACTGAATTTAGCCTCTATTACAACCTTAAAGGCACTCTCTACTGTTATTATGTTTAAGCCCTAAGAATGAGGGGTACTAATTAAAGTAGAAGTTATTCTTGATCAAAGCTGACTTCTAATACCAGCTTGAACAGCTTGTGTAATGATTAATAAATTTTGATGACAGAGATCCCAGGAGGAAAGATGGATAACGTTGTTAACTCAGGCTCGTCGCCAGTGTGTGTTGTTTTCAGTGCTTATTCTTCAAGGATGTTTTTCTCTGGACAGGTTTGTTTTGCTCTCTCTAAAAATTTGTTATAATCAAGTGTTATCACTCTGTGTAATGTATTTAATTATATATATAATCATATTAAAAATCTGAATTTTGCAATTCTTGTTAATGGTAGGTCAGTCCTTCAGAGATCACCCTTGGTACACTTATTTATCAATGAAGAATGTGACATTCCTTTCACTTTCCTTGTTGAACTTGTCACAACAGTAGCAAGTGACTCACATTTATGTATGAAGGTAAAAATATGCACTACTAGTATTGATTGTATGTTTTTCTTTAACAAGTGTTGACACTAGAAAAAGTATTTAATAACAGCAGAATTTCTCATTACTTATGACATGATAAATGTAGTAAAGTTTTACAGTACATTTGAGCTAAGAGGATTTTAGCACTACAGCTAATGGTCAATGTCAGGCAAAATTTCAGGTATTGTATGGCTGGTGAAAATGCTGATGGTATCTTGGGATTCAGAAAGTTATACACCTATTACCATGCTTCTTAATCTATTTTGTTGCAAGAATCAATTATTCCTCATGAGAAATGCTACCAGAAAATCTCTCAAACTTGAGTATGTGGATGAAACCATCCATACAGAGCGTCAGGTGGGGATATTAGTGGGGAATTATGGGGAAAAAAGGTTGATTGTTTAAGGCATTGTGTGGGATTGGGCAATGAATGTTTTCATGGGAATTTTTTTTTTTTGATATGCAATTGTTTGTCCTACTCATCAATTGTTTCATACATTTGAATGTTTCTATTGATGCAAAATTTAGTAGTTATCAACATTTGTCATGAGTCCTGTAGCTTGTTGTTCATTCCTAAGGTCAGGAGCAGGAACCTAAAGGCACAGCCTAATTTTCAGTTTCTTTTAGTCATCAATAGACAATTGAAATTTACTAAAAATTTCACCAGTGTACATGTGAAACTCCTTAGTGCATCATGGTTGTTTACATAACTTGTTCTTGTGTTCAGCACTGTGCAGAGCTACTAACTGAAGAATAGTATTCTGAGCACAAATGAGGCTGTTCAGTGAGAGCTTTGCCACAATTTTTTGAAAAGGAAATGGTATCAAATAACCACAGAGGTTCTAATGATATTGGTTATGACAAGTAAACAATGTCATGTTGTTTAGAACCCTATTTAATTTGAAATTATGTTCACATTGTTTCAATTGATAGAATGACAATTAAGTGATTTCATTAGAAAATGTAACTTTTGCTAATATGAATCAAACTGATTTAATTTCCCGTGCATAGATTTTTAAGCCAGTGCTGTTGAGCTTAAATCAAGAAATGCAAAATTGTCATCTTGCAGCTGAAGGATTTAAAGCTCCCCTGTTGGTAAGTTGGTGACATGCATCAGTTGTTTCATAAATTTGGTGGAAGACCATTTGTATTCTTTTTGTTGACTGATGTTTTTGTAGGATACATCAAACAATTGAAAAATGGCAATGAAAATTGATGGGCATCATCCTTTGAACTTGAGTCCTAATATATAAAGGTTGATGAGGAGTTAGAGATAAAGAGTGCTGAGAATCAGCCTTGATAAATATTCCCCCCCCTCCCCCCGATGAAAACTGAACCACAGCTTGCATGTAAGTATTTTTCTTGATTAGTGCAACAGTTTTTCAGACATAGAGAACAATTATATTTTCAAGTAGTATGAACTGTTAATCTTTGTAACTTTGATCTATGTGTAACCTTGGGAAATATTTAGAGATGTCAAGTATTCCTCTTTGTCCTAGGCACTGTCAAAACTGTGCGATATCCGCCTGGGAACAACTTCAGTGAGACCTATTTGTAACTTGGTAGGTAAAAAACATAAGGATAGTTGTATCTCAAGGTCCAGTGGATCTATCATCAATGCAACAGTAATACCATTTTAATGTAATTTTTCCTGAAGACCTCATCTGCGGGGTCTGTATTAGATGTAATCAACAGAGTTGTGTAATTTTCAAGTTTGTGGAAGCTTCATGTGAATGATTTATACATGTATTCATAATTGACTGATTAGTAATGTCAACAAAATTTTGTTAATATCTGAGTGAATGGTTGAGAAAATTCAAAAAGAAAATGAATAATGGTCTCTCACAATGTAGCTCTACATTCATTCACCTTCACTACACTGCTAATTTTTTTTCATCTCTTTCTTCCTGCTTATTATCTGTCATAATTTAGTATAATTAAGCCTATGAAAGAGGAATAATTGTGATATGTACACTGAATAAGAGACATTTCAAGGTTGCAATAAGACCCCTCTACTATTTTCTTGACAAATTGAAAAGATTCTCAGCTACATGAGTATTGTGAATTTCTGTTTATCTTATACAATTCTTTACATCTTATAGATGGTTGCGTTATCCAACATGTGGATCCCATCACCCTTATCAAAAGCTGAAGGAAAAGAAATTGAGAGACTGTCTCTCATTGGACCATTTCTCAGTCTGTCAGTATTTTCTGAAGAATGTGTAAGTTATTTGTACATCTGTTATTATATCAGACAAACTGTACTTGCTAATTTCCTTCCCTCTAAAATTTTCTAGAGAATGTCTAATATATTTATTCATTTGTTGATATATCAGAAAATAAAGGTGCTAGTTCTCTTCTCTCCAAAATTGCTTCTTAAAATGTAGTGTGTATTGCTTTGAGTGAAGTGATTGAACGGTGGTTACTTTGGATGGAGACTCTGTGACTGTGAAACCCCTAATTCAGCCATAGGTCAGCTTTTTATTCTTGTTCATCCTCAGCCGCAGATTGTTGATCGTTACTTTTCCGAGTCATCAGAAAATGTTAAGCTGGTGAATGTGACTTTGAGAAGTGCCCTTCGCATTGTTAGGGTAAGCAATCAAATACAACCCTCACAGCACATCTAATTAAATTGATGTTTTTATCAGAAATGAATGGTGACTTCACCTGTTCTTAATACAAAATTGACAGAAACAAACAAAATGTTTGTTACCTAGTCAACATGTTGTCTCAATAGTCTTCGGAAGCAAGCTGTTATACTTCTCTTTGTTGATTTTTTACACTTGCTGGTGCAAAAATGAGATTGTCTCCATTGTATTCCTACTTATGATTTTGACTGTAAGATAAATTAGAAATCCAACGAATTTGGCTTTACTCTCATTAAGTGCCTATGCGCGAAATGTCAGCGTTTAAACTCTTTATGGTGGCCAATCTACCTCGTCAACTCAGGTGATAAAACCAAATTATCTTGTTATACCCTCCACTGACGCAACACCACATTACCTTCGAACATAAAATAGTCAAACTTTTAGAAACTGCACTTGCCAGTCACCTGAACGATTTGTTGAGGAATTGCTTTATAAACTGAACACAGTTTTCCTTCTCAATGGTAATGATAACTTTGTGGGTTTTGAATTAATGAATTTTTATTTCATTTTTACTGTACAAATCTGGGAATGCCCCTACCAGCCTCTCACATTGCTTGATCCTTGTGATAGTCAACAGGAAAATGATGATGGTAATGGTAACAAAGATAATGGTGATAATCATGTGAGTTGAGAGTTACCTTATAATGTAAATGTGCTTACTTCAAACAGACAGAGGTATTCAAGATAATTCATAGTATGCTTGTGTCTACGGAGAGTCGGGATGCTTGTTTACAATTCATTGCTTCAGTCTTAGCAAGAAATTACCGCAAGGCACAGCTACAGGTAAATTACATTTTGTCTTCTTCCTGGAAAGAACTGGTAATAAAGATCTTTATTATTAAAAAGAAACACGTCCAGAAACAAAACGTCTGGACTTACAATTTCCTACATATATCTATCTATTATGTATATACAAGACTAAGTAACTACACAAATTCGAAAAGACATCTATTGAAAAAGCAACGTTTAAAGCGTTCGGTTCTGATTGGAGGCAGGATGTAATTATGTCCTCTTTTCCTGAGGCTCCTAGCTCTCTGAGCTGGTAAAAGTTCATGTAATGGATTTGCGCTGTCAGTAACTGTAGATCGGTGTTTAGATAAGATTTCTGGGGTTTCAAAGACTTCAGTACTTCATAACATCTGGTCCTGATAATTTAAAAAAGTACGTAACTGTAATTATCACTTGTAACTAGCCCACCTCCTCATCAAAGAACCAAACGTTGACAAATGATACTCTTTTTAGGTTGATGATAGACAAGTTGCTTCCGATGGATTTATGTTAAACTTCATGACTGTATTGCAACAACTGTGTGCAAAGGTTAAAATTGAGAAGGTAACAAGTGTGTGTTGTTCTACACTGACTTATATCAAGACTCAAAGTTGTTTTAGTGAAGAGAAATACATTTTTAATGCTTTTTTTTAATGATTTACGAGTGATCAGCACTTCACGAACTGAAATAGTAACAACTTCTTTATTTCTCCTACGAGTTTCTTCTGACAATAGCAGACTTCATCAGGGAGTTTTTACAAGAAGGAAAATAGTCTTGATTTTATACACATAGTATGCGTTTGGGGGTCACAGGTGTATCTATGATACCCAAAGGCATCACGTACTCGTACATTCAACGTTCGAAAATGACACGCATGTGCAATACCGTTGTGACACTTTGCGGATACTTTCTGCTTTCTTCACACTTTGCGTGAACGTCGAATATAGACATGGCTTTTACTATATATATATGACAATCTTTTGATCATATATGATATGGAGAAACACCACGTCAGGTAAGGAACCTGTTCTACCTTTAATGATGTTTCATAAATGTTAAGGGCACAAAAGGTCAATCACGTTGAGTGAAAGAGATCGCTTTTGAAGTGTCACCTTTATGATAAATGGAAATTTTTCTATTATTGTGTTCCAAGTGTGTTAGCCTTTTGCAGGCGTGCATAAAGTAAGACGGAACGAGATAGTAAACGGCGCCATTGTAGCGACGGAGTTACTTAAGCAGGAGGCTTGAGTCGGCTTGCGTAAAGGAGGGAAGCTTGGGTCGTAAAGAAATTCTTTACAAGACCCGAACCAAGCCTCCCTCCTTTACGCAACCCGACCTAAGCCTCCCGCTCTTTCGCTCCGCCGCTACTATTGCGCCGTTCGCTATTTCACTCCACTTTACTCACTGAACGCTTGGAACAGGCTCATGGTGTGTTTATGTGAATAAGTCTCGTAATGATGATGGTGAGGAAATTCAAATTTGTTTTGATTTTCTTACAGGTTGATAGTTTGTATCTCCATCATCCCAAATCAAGAGTGAACATCTCACAAGAGTCCAGGTTGAAACTTACTTCACAGCAAGTTAAAGAATGGAAACAGGAACTAGGTATTTCTTAGGAGTCTGTGTGAGCTATGAACCAGAAGAGCGTCATCGACGCATACTGGGAATCTAAGTCATATTACACCAAAGATTATAATATGTGAAATTATACCGACGTTCCTTTTAGTTTAAAGGTAACCTTTTTACACAGTTACGATATAAATGTCCTCAAAAATGTTAATCTTGTTGCCCGTGATTGATGAAGAAGTAGCCAAAACTTAAGCATTTTTTCATACATAAAGAGCCGTTTTCAAATGAATGTCAAAAAAAATCCATGATTGCCTTAGTTTTGCTCAACTTCGCTCTATGATTGGTCTCGAAAAAACTCGTGCCACCTTCCCATTTAATCATATTAAAAATTAAAACCAATCCTGATTTGGATACTGGCGTATTCCCGCCTTTCATGTGGTTTCCTGCTTTTAATCAAGGTTCTAATTGGCGGCTGATGATGATGTCAACCTTTGCTTCAATTGGCTGTTGTGAATATTTTGTTTCGAAACTCGAGTCAAAACTGCTATTAAGATTGAATCAATAGTTAAAATCTCTAATGCATGCTGTATTTTATATGAGAGATCAGTCAAAAGCGTTTTCATTTATTGCAGATAGTAAAAATGCGTGGTTGGAACCAAAATTTCCCACTGAGTGTTTCTTTATGGCCATTCAAGCCCATCATTTAGCAATTTTACCGGCTTGTAGAAGACATTCTCGACGACAAAAAGCTCACCGGGAGTTAACACGCATGATTGAACATCTGGAATCCCATGAAAGCGAGTGGATAGATACTCCGATGGCCTCTAGAAACAAGGGTCTGTTAAAGAAATGGAGAGAGCAGATCAAGGTAAACGGGAAACAAATTCAAGTTGTGAAAATCAACTGTAGAGCTAGTTTATATCTTCATTTTGTTTATTGACGCGGTTGATAACATTTCTAGCTCTACAAATTTTTTTTTGGTCATATTTTAACTTCAGAAACTAGAAAATGGTAAGGCTTGCTCGGATGTCGTTTTACTTGATGATGAACTTCTGCGTGGCTGTTTAAAGTTCTATGGGTTTTTGGCTACATGGATCTTGAGACTAGTGGATCCTAACAAAAAAGGGTAATTATAAAGAGTTAGAATTTTGGTCAATTGTTACATACCTGTTGCTGATGAATTTTAAAGGATAAACGTTATCTGATGTTTTCAAAGATTTTCTGCTACTTTTGCTTCCTCTTACTAATTACCTGTTTATTTCGTATGTTTTGACATGGTGTTCTGTGTGACATTTTCATTACTTTGTCACATATTGACTCCTTTTCATTTTGTTGTTTGGAAATTTGTTTGTGCAGCTTTGGTATATGTAATTTTTTTTGCAGTATTTAAAAATCCTCTCTGCCTCCTCGCTCCCCCCGCCTTTCTCACGATGACGATGACGATCGAAACTTTTGTCCTTTTCAGTATTGTATCGTCATGGTTAATTTACTCAACTGTCATATTTGATGAGTCGATAAATGACTCTTGTCCCTGACCGTTCTCACTGATTCACTTTTCTTATGGCAAATGGGTTTGAGACTTGTTTACAATCTTGACTGCATGTAATTTGTTCTGTGAAGGATCAGTATCCCTTTGCCAGAAAAGATTGCCATGGAGCTTGCGTCCCTTCCGGACTATTTTGTCGGTGATGTGGCTGAGTTTTTGCTCTTTGTCAACATGTAAGTATTCATATTGAAGCCTGTATGCATTTATAGGTACTGGAAAAGCCTTGCAACATCAACGCTATTCAACCTAAAGGAAGCCAGCTTATGCTTCGAAATTTTCTTCTCGAAACGGGCACAAAACAAAGGTTCTCCTCTTTTGCGCCCTGTGAAATCGCTCAATTGGCTTTAGATCTCACTAATAGACGCTAAAAGTATTTGCAAGAAAATGTTGAGGTTATTTACGTTATAATCGTCGGGCGGGAGAAATCATCAACACGACAAAAACAGGCAATTTGTACTGAAGAAGAAAGCACATCTCAAATCAGTTAGTGATACACAGCCAGTGGCTATCCTTAATTTTTTTTTTTGTCTAAAACTGTGTAGATAAGCGTTTTGCGTAAAATGTTTAGGACAGTAAGAGAATGACTATAAATTGCAAAATTGTTACAAAGAATCACTGAAACAGACTGCAGTATTTAGGGATTATAATTGCACAATTTACCAGGCATGTATCAAATTTCCACAAGTTAGGATTTTGTGGGTTTCCGTTTTACGCAGGTTTTTCTGCACAGTTGTACAGATCGTATGCAGTACCGCGGACAGTTCCTTTAGTTTGGCGTAAATTTTTTCGCAAAATCACGTTCCATAATCAGTAGAACTAACACTTTTAACAGGTTAACTAAGGATAGACAGCGGGCGATAGGAATTACAGTCGTTTCGCCTACGTCTTAAATCTTAAATCTTTTATCTTAATACTCAGTTTTTTTTTGTGAGGTTCAACAAGGACTTTTAAAAACAATTCAATTTTAACGCTTTGACATACGAATCGTAGGCGAACTGACATATTGGACGTAAGCTAACCGACTCTAGACTTAGGCGAAACGACCGATTACCGGCGATAGAGCAGTGCTCCTACTCCGATTTGTTTGGTCTTCTCAGACACAGTCAGATTTTTCTCACCAAGCAACCTAAGTTGCAGCCAATGATTCTTTCCATTGCATGCGATCGAATATGACGGATAAGGATATGAGAGGGTGCCGTCGCAGCATTATGTGTACCTTGGTTTTCTTCTCACTCTAACAGTCTTAAAATCAATAATTTTTGGAGCTTAAGGTTCCTGTGAAATTGGCAAAGTGATTTATTTGTGTTGGGTATCGAAAAGCTAGTTCTTAGGAAATCTGTGAATTCTGTATTGTTTACCTGTAAGCCAGCTTTGTTTATTTTTGTTACCTATCCTTACGTGCTTGAATGTTGTTCCCAGCTCCCTCTGAACTTCCATATGGGAACAGAATGGGCATCACTGAAAGTAGAAGTGAAACATGAAAAGGGTATCCCTTCCCCTCCCGATTGGCCCAAAACGCTATAAAATCTGCTTGGTAGCAGATATGGCGCTGGAGAGCCAACTTTGTAGCAGCTTATTGCTTATTCACCACAAATATTTTAATGTACTTTGTTTCTTTTTACAGGCATGCACACCACGTGCTGGAGGATCCTGCCATGAATGACATTGTCACCTTTTTTGTTGTATTTGTTTGTTCACCAAACTACATATCAAATCCTTATCTTGTGGCGAAAATTGTCGAGGTTTGTGAAAATGACTTGTAACCGATTACGTGTTATTTTTCGTGATACGGTTAACCCCTTATCTTTTACTGCAGGATTGTTTAGTCTAGTCAAATTAAAGAAATGCGCAGTGAAGAGGTTATTTTGACTCAAGCACCAGAGCCAACTGGTCAGCTGTTAAAACTTTTATATTTGCTACCCGTCTGCTAAGATCTGGTGTCCCCTTCCCCGCACCTCACCTGCGGCGAGTAAACGTTTTTGTTCAGTAATTTTTAAGACACGTCTAAACGAACTTGACAGCCTTCCAGAAAGTTTTTTTCCTGACAAATTATAAACCGTGTTGATATTCCATTTATTCATGAAAATAAATCACTCTGTGTTAAAGTTCGTTTTTATGGAAAAGTGTTCAACTGACAGCAGCCTTTAGTTGAGGCTGTTAGTTTTGTTTTTGAACGTTTAAACTTGGTTGAAGCAAAAGATAATGCGGAACAGAAAGCGGAACATGGCATGTGTGGGTCGTCGTCACCGGCAGTCATCACGGGATATGATTGTGTACATTTTAGATTGTGGAACTAGATGCCCATTCCCTTCCCTTCTCCATTCCCTTTCGTTTACCAGAGGGGAATGGAGAAGAAGATCCCTTAAAGGGTTAATACTGTGACACAACTTTGCCTCACTCCACAGCTGACTGTAAAGGCATCTAATGTTATCTATTGGGGCGGACTGTTCTGTATTTGTCCTCATGAAAGGAGGTAGCAATGCTGAGCCACTCTTAGGGACAGCTGATCTTACTTGCCAACTAGATCGAGGACCTTTGTCAGATCAATGAAAGGGATGTAAATTGCAACTAGTCCTGCAGCGAACGTAGTCAGGAGATCTTATCCACGGTAGATCTGCTTTCTAGAACTGCACTGAAGCTCTGGATAAATTTGCAAATCGAAGCTTTGCTAGTGTGCCCAGATGACACGGGCGAAGACCTTGCTGACATTTTTGAGGAGGGAAATATCTCTAAAGTTGTTACAATCGCTACATTCGCCACATTCTTGTATAGGTTCACCAATGTTGGCGTCGCCCATGTCGTATGCAACTTGTTCCTTTACTCAGCACAAGCTCTGGAGCTCATGTAGGGGCTATCGTAGTGATGGTTTGCCTCTATTTAGGAGCACAGGCTGTTTGCCGTCTTTCTCAGAGGTTTCTTTGCAAATGAGATGGTCTACAGCTTTTCTTACCTCTTCTGTTGTAGGCTAGTTATGGGACTCTTAGATAATAGTAAGAGTGAGTAGAGCATCCAAGGCGGCATTAGTCACCGCGTTCTGGGTTCCATAAAGCTTAAAGTGGTGCTCAACCAAGCGTTGGAGTTGCTCGCCTAAAAACTCTTTGAATTGGCAAAACATGTTTCTCGCCTTGCTGCACATGGAGGTTTTATGTGACAAGGTTGCGTCACCTGTGATAAAACCTTTTAACAAAAACTGTCCAAATACTACAATGCAAGAGTCACGTTTCGCGTCTTTAACCAGCGTTCATAATTGTGGATATTCATGTTGCGTTTTGCCATCGATATCGTGTTACTTATTTGCTTTGGAAAAAACTTCCGTGCTCTAAAATGGAGCCTGATCCGCCATTTTTTTCAAGTCGCTATAGTCATGCAAATAAAGCTGATTGTTGTCGTTACTTCAGAATAGCAAATCCGTGTTAGCTTTTATGTGAACTTTTTCGGAAAAATTTAGCAATTTCCGCCGATGAATAACTTAAGTGCGAACAAAAAAATTTCCCAAATCATCAACCAGGAGCCAAATACTCTATTCCCCTATTTTCTCCTGGGTAGAGCCCAGTATCAACATGAGTGTTTTGCACTTCAGGTATTGTTTGTGATGAATCCCAGCATTCAACCAGCAGCCTCAAAGATCCATGAGATGATTGTCTCTCATCCATTGGCGTTGGACCATTTAGCCCCAGCACTTATGAATTTTTATACAGGTACATACTCCTCTGTCACAAAATATTTGTCTATTATTCGTCCATTTCTTGGACCTTTTATGTATTACATAACATTAGCACTGATTTTTATCGTTCGATAGACTTACTAGTTGTTCATAGGCGTTTATTAGCGGCATTTTCCGTCGGCTGGGAGCGGGAGCTCGCTGGGAGTTGGTCTGTCTCACGCAATCCCATTTATTTTTCCAGTTAAATTTTACATTTTTGCCCTTGAAGTTATGAAAAAATTATTCAGATTAAGACAAAGGGGACAAGGTGTCATCGCTTTCATAGGGGAGAAGCAAAGTACGAGTTGAGGTCTCGGTGACGTACGGTAAAAGTCTTTAAAGAAATAGATGAGAAGAAACTCAACTGACTCTCTGTGCTCTATCGGAAATTATTGTAATAACTCTCGAAAACCGTCAAAACAAGGCACATTCTGACACAACGGCCAATTCACCAAAATCACTCAGGTACGGAAACAAAACGTCCGGTTTATGGTAAAATACTGATTATCTGCGTTTTCTTTTTAATTGACTTCTCTGTTTGATTTGCAGATGTAGAAACGACTGGCAGCTCAAATGAGTTTTATGATAAGTTTAGTATAAGATATCACATTTCCATAATCATGAAAAGTTTATGGCAAGATGTGGGCCACAGGGGAGCCATCATGAAGCAAAGCAGGTGAACCTAAAACTATAATATTGTGTCTCGTTGAACGTCTTAATCATTGCGAAAAGTCTTTGGCGACTGTTAAACAAAAGCAATGCTTATACTATCCCTCAAACAAACCACGATGGCCACGGACACGAGGACGTACCAAAACAAAACGTCTTATAGGAATGTGCGACAGCTCGGCCTCTTTTTTGACACTTTCAAGATCTTCTTTTTGGAGATTTCCAACCTAACAGCATTAAGTTTAGGCTAGGCAGAACCTCATTAGTATGTTAATGTCAGGTTAAGTCGCATGTTTTGTATCCATTTTAGGACGGTTCAGTTTGTTCGCTTTGTAAACATGTTGATTAATGACACAACATTTCTGCTGGATGAATCCTTGGATTCATTAAAAAGCATCAATGAAACTCAGCAGATGATGGCCAATGTAGCAGACTGGGAGGCATTACCAAGGGTAAGTCTGTGTGTGTTTGGGGTGTCACATGATGACACACGCAACCAAAAAAGCACAAAAACTGAGTTTTAAATACAATCGTTAATGGTTATCGTTGTCCTGCTACAGTTTTGATAATAGCGTAAATCTTTTGTTTGAAAGGGCGTCGTTATCCATGTAGACGAGGTATGGACACACAAACAAAACAAAAAAACAACTGGCTTTACGTTCAAAATAGTGTATGGCACTGTTGTAACAACTGAACTCTCAATACTTTTGAGACGAGCCCAGACGAGCTATTTTCTTTTTTTTTGTTTTGTTTTTTTCCCTTTTTTTGAGAAGTCAACATAATGATTGAAAATAATCGCAAGGAAAATGGTGTTCATTACCCCAGGAATACAAGCTAATTTGACTTTGATCTGTTGACAGGACATGCGTACCTCTCGTCTTCGACAACTTTCCACTGACGAGCGGCAGTGCCGGTCTTATCTTACCCTTGCCTCGGAGACATTAGATATGATGCTTTACCTCACTAAACATGTACAGGCGCCTTTTCTTAGGCCGGTAAGTTTCAACAGATTTTACATTTGTCTTCTTTTAAGGTTAAAGGATTGTGGTATGACGTCGTTTAAGTGGCTGGGGCGTTAGCCACGTTCTGGCCATTTGCCTTACCAGGACAACGATCATATTCAGTTGTATGTATCCCTCGAGGGATGCGATGTGCTTCCGAATGTCATATCTACTGTGTTAAGACGACAGTCGAATCAGAATTTCATTGGCTGGAATTCGTTCTATGTTATATTTTACTGTCTCAATTAGTTAGGTGCCATTGGAACAAACGCGTTGCATTTTCTGTAAGTTTATATTGGATTTAGAGTTTTGGTCAATATCGGCAGTGCGACTGTGAGAGTGTTACGAAAACCAGGCTAGCGTGTATGTCCTTGTTTCAGTCACTGAAGGCGTGAAATCATACAAATCTTTGTACCGGTCTTCCAACTTTTCGCTTATTTTCTTATTTGCAGGAATTGATTGATCGAATAGCTGCTATGTTGAATTTTAACCTACAACAACTTTGTGGACCGAAGTGCAGGAATTTAAAGGTAATATTTTGTCACTGGATTGATCCTGTACCAGAGCAAGTGGGGGCTTTAGCAAACCTGTATTGGCGGGTTATAGTTAGAAATCGGTTTAAGGACAGATGTTATAGCAGTTTCATTCATTATTTTACGATGGCGTCGATCTTTCTGCAGGTTAAAAACCCAGAAAAATATGGATTTGAACCCAAGACTCTTCTGGATAGATTAACACAGATTTATGTGAATCTAGACTCGGAAGAATTTGCAAAAGCTGTTGCTGGTGACCAGGTATGAAAAGAATCAATAATTCGTAACGTCTGGATGTGGTGTTATTCAATTTTATGAACAGTGATAACGAACTTCCAGTTACACCTAATTACAAAAACTTTTACCGAAAAAAGCAAAAACATGGGAAAAGCCAAATAAGCACAATTAGCATATATAACTTGATTACGTTGTGGTTTTTAGCTGGTTTTCAAACAATTTCCACTGAAATATTCCCACAAACTTTCTGAGATTATCAGATGTATGTTCACAACTGTCGAGCGATTCCTAAAATGAAGTTGGTTTCTAAGTTTGCAAAATATCAGCGTTTGGGCGCATTATGAAATAACTATCTTCTTGACTGTTGTTTAAATTGCACCCTCAGGTAAGCATAAGCTCGGATAATTCGATCACTTCAAAAAGGAAATGATTTTTGAGAATTTCGTGGCATTTCAAAACAAGTATCAAATACTCATTGGATTTGTATGATCTTTCTGTGGGAATTTAGTCAATATTTCGGACTACTAGGGTGAGCGGAGTGCATGCAGAACACTAACAGCGGAGCGGAGTACCATGCAGAACACTAACAATTTTCGGAAACGTTTGACATGTCTAGACAAACACCAGATACTCTAAAAAGCCTGAAAGAACCCATCAGTGGAAATTCAGTGGAAATTGCCCGGCTGCCGGGCTTACAATCACAGGATAATTTTATAAGCGTTTTACTCCTACTTGTATTTTTCCTTTTTAAGTATTGCTTTTTGATTTTTGTTTTTTTCCATGACTTTATGGCTATGAGATGTGCATTTAAATTCGTCAATTGACAGTTTAAACATCTGAAAATTTTTATGGTACCACACTGATTTCCAATGAACTACTTAGTTAGACAGTCCACGTGTTCAAGCCGGCAATTTAAACCTTTACGGATTTCTCTCCTTTTTCAGCGATCATATAGGAGAGAATTATTTTCCGACGCCGCGAAACATCTTCACAAAACCTTGCTGAAGACAGAGGTAAGAACTGGGCGCACGTAACGGAATTTGAAAGGACTGAATTCTTCAAATTTGACCTTGCTGCACAATATTTGCTTTCGTTTTCTCTTCATTACACCGTCAACCGTTGAGTAAGTTGGGTTTGCATGAAGAACAGTTTGTACCACCAACAAAGTTATTATCATCACATCATTTGTTGTAAATTTTTTCAGGCAGAGATTTACCGGTTTAAAGAATTTGCCTCAAAGGTAGAAATCAAAGCTGCCGAAAACGCTGCTCGCAATGAGGACTATGATGATGCACCGGATGAGTTTAAAGGTATTGACGCATACCTTGCGAAAGGATCTTTATTCAGACCCAAAAAGTCTTATGTTGTGTGGAAATGAAGTTGATAACTGAACACAACATATCAAACAGAACGCTACTCGAAAGTTGTTAACAGTCTTCTCTACGATGCCAGTTGCGATTAAGATTGAGCTGACTGTTTGATGACTAAATCAAGTGACACTTGAGCTACTGCTCTCTTGTTCTATGTCGGGGCAAGGTACTTTTCAACTTGGTTGTTATCGGCCTTTGCTTTCAGGACTTCACTCAACTTCAAATATCCAGTATACTTTTGAATTGGGGTGTTGCTAAATGTTTGCAGAGAAGCATGTAAATGAATTTTTTTTTTCGTCACAGATCCTCTCATGATGACGCTCATGCTTGAGCCTGTGATCCTACCAACTAGTGGTAAAATTATGGATAGGGCAGTTATCACGCGCCATTTATTAAACTCTGACACGGATCCTTTTAATCGACAACCACTTACAACTGACATGCTACAGCCAGGTGGGTCACACAATAACAATGATCTATAGTGACACCTATTGCTCACTTATTACATACCTTTTGCAAACTAGTTGATTGAGTGGGTTATTAGTTGAAATCAACAGGGTAATTAAGTTTTATCAACTGAGTTGATAACGTCAATTGGCCGCCGTAAAGAGTTTTAAAGCTGAAGTTTCGAGCGCTAGCCCTTCGTCAGAACGAATGGAGCAATTGTGGGTTGTGCCGGTGTGTGTTTACATGCAGAAAATGGAGCTACGCTATTGGTGTAAACATGGTAACGGGAAAATAAGAATTCAAGAGAACAAGAGTTCGGCTTTCCGAACTGCCAAGCCTCAAAATTCTAAAACAAAAATTTATCTTTCAAATCGGTGCTCTTAATCCCCACGGTTTCAACGAGCGCTTTTCATTCAACTAATTTATTCTAGTTTTCCCGTCACCATATTTACACCTCCATTCGGTCTGACGAAGGGTTAACGCTCGAAACGTCAGCTTTAAAACTCTTTACGGCGGCCAATTTACGTTATCAACTCAGTTGATAATACTTAATTACCCTGTTATACTCTTCATCTGACGCAGCACCACAGTTTCTTTAGAACTTAACCCTTTTATTATTTTAAATTAATTGGGTGATCTTCAGTACTGAGGATGAGAAAAAAATACGAAAAGAGCGGCAGTCTTTCTTTTTTTTCTTGACAACCGACTCTATGAAACGCATCCGTTCAATAGACGATACATGAACAAGAAATATACTGTATCCGAAGGCCTGCATAACCACCACAGTGCGGAATAAAAACCATGCATTATGTATCTAATACCTAAACATAATCACTGAATTTCCTGTAACGAATATTTCTATCCATTGTTAGCGACTGAACTCAGGATACAGATAGAGGAGTGGCTACAAAACCGCCAAAGAGAGGATTAATCATGAGAGCAAACAGTGACCTCTACCAATTTGCTTTTCCACGTTACCAAAGCGTGGAGGATCTCTTTGCTCATCAAGCAAGGAAAAGTGCTTCATTGATTATGCTCACGGGTGTTATTTTTTTTTTTTGCCATGTTTTGGGAAATAAAGGTCGATCATCTTCCTCAGTTTACTTTGATCCTTTGTAATCAAAATAAGAGCTTTTTTTAGTTACAGTGGATCTCAAAAGACTACCTGACTCAGTCAAGTACACCGATAATTCCTTTTGAAATACGTGTCAAAGATAACCGCTACTTTTTATTTGCTTGAAATTATTTCAGTCACTGTTTATCCTCTCCGCTTAAAGAACCGCTGCCTTTCTCAAAAAAATATAAACACGAGAAACCATCTCTTGAGCGGGTTGAACGATGTTTCAAAGTAATGCCAATAATCAAGAGGCAGGTTCGTTCCATCAATTAACTACCATTATTCAGCAAAACTATTTTTATGTATATTATATTTACTGAGGAGAGTTTCAATCAATTATATCTCTTTTGTTTGATGTCCACAAAAAACACTGTAAGGTGGTGTAATTGTTATGAACGGTTGTGTTAGTTTCTATGTCATGTGATATTGGGTGGAAGGGCTGGGTTATGCTACACGTGCAGACACAAAAATGCTACGATACTACAGTACTCACCGGTCTAGGTAGGCCTCTGGTTTTGCCTACGCAAAGGTCAAACGCAAAGGCATATATACACTCAGAGGTAATGTTCCAAATATTGTCTGATAAAGCTGTCGACGACGCCACGATGACGTGATCGACAGCTGTTTAGGACTAGAAATCGGCCAAGGGTGCTGGGGAGTATCTTTAAGGCAAACAATGGGAGCCAAGTATAACCTGAGGTAAAGTTTGCTGATAAAACGAAAGAATTAGGACTACGTCCAATTTATAAAAAAAATTTTCTCAAACTACACAAGCTTGCACTTGAGCATAACCTAAGACATGTTGAGAACAATTGTCAGATTCTCATCTTGTCCGTCTTGGGGAAAAAAGCACTCGGACAATCTCTACGTATCATACGTTCCTTACATTTACGTATGACATGAACGTCCCCTTCCATATTTGCACTTTCGTTTGCGTTGGTGCATGTGCGCCACACATACCAATTTCTGCTTACATTATAAACGCTGTCTGAGCGTATCCTTTATCGTAGAGATAATTCCTGGATCATTCATGCTGTGAATCTATTCTGATTAGGTAAGAATGAAAACAAGTCACTGAATTAACTCGCCTCTACTTGACCTCTTTACGAATGTAGTCCTTCTAGGGAAATATATAAAAATTATTGCATGCATGGATCTCGGCGTATGATATGCGGCAAACCTAGGTACGGCTTACGAATTACAGCTAACTAAACTAACTAATGTAACGCGTACATTTGAATAGTGAATAATACTGTTCCTTCAGAGGTATAATTCAAATTATTAACTTCGCTCCCAAAACATTTCCACAGTTAGTAAGCCAATTTTTTCAAGCTCTCTTAATAGTACTGCCATTTTCTCCTCCTTTCCTCTCGATCACCTCTCGTGCACCTCATATCTTCTCTTTGTTAGTTAATACATCTGGTAAAGTTGATCAGAGAACAGTTGTCTTTACGACTAAACAAAAATAGCATCTTTGGCCACTTATTAATTAGCTTAAGTCCTAAATTCTTTTTTAATTATTTTTTCCACCTAAGAAGCGACAATGTAGTAAGGAACTAAGCTACCACTAGCGGTCAAAACTGAATACTGAGATTGTGTTGCATACATCATCAAATTCAACAATGGAAGAGGCTTTTTCAATTTTCATCGTCTATTGGACGGAGAGTTGAACGATTCTTTGATATCAGCCACCTGACCTCGAAGTGTAACAGCCAGCCAAATGGTTATGATCTGTAGCAGTAGTATGCCGAACGACGAAATCCCGATAGTAATGAGATTGTTTTTGAACCAGTTAACAGCGATCGTCAGACAACCAGTTGTATAGATCCTCTTCTCTCGCTCGATGGAATCCATTCTTCCGACTCCATACCCACACTGGCTGTTAATCCTGTCTTCTTCAGTCTTACAGCATGTTTTCGGCACTCCGCACGCCTCTGCCCCCGGCGAAGAACAGTTGTAGTATAGGTTAGCCTGCCAGTCTTCATGCGAGGTGATTCCGCAACATTTGAATTCAGTTTGTACTGTCTCAATAATCAGCTGTAAGTCTGGTTTATCTGGTTCACGGTAAAGATTAATTGCATCGTTTAATTTTTTTCGGATGTTCTCCTCCACCTTTTCGCGGAAGATGAAGCCCAAAGCGCCACAAGCAACTTCGATTAACAAAAGCACGCCAACAATGATGGCATAACAGCATAACATGCAAGTGTTCTCTCGTAAAGCGCCTAGACATCCGAGGAAGGTAATGAGAAACAATAATCCGCCGAGAATCACGAACAGCACTGCAGGATCAAACGACAAATCGCTCAAACTTTGGTAATCTACGTCTTTGTCGACCATCATGTACACTCCGACTCCAAGGATTAAGATCGCAGCTAACCAGAAAAGAACATTTAAGAAAAACAGCGAGAACTTGATGCATTTTGAAGGATCTTCTGGAGAACTGGATCTTGGACCAATTCTACGGCCTTTGTTTTGCATCTTTATTAAGATGGTTTCCTTATGTTAATTTGCCTTGCGGAAATCTGTTTATAGAGTTGGATAAACTCGGCTGAAATATAGTTTGCCTAGCTCGCTTGATATCCTGCCTTTAATTGCTTGACTAAGACTGAAGATTACGGGTACAGAGGAACAAATTAAATCCCTTTCGTTCGTCTTGCTTGGCTCGATGCTCGGAGGACTTTGGCAGCTGAGAGACTTGACAAGGACTACAAACGATCCTCGACCTCGACCTCGTTCGTCTGATTCTTGATTAAAATTTTCTTTTAAGCTCCGAATCAATTGCCAACAACTGTAAAAGAAATACACTGTATTTAGGACCTAGGAAATAAACTTCGTTCGGTAAAAACAATGTTGAAATGTCGCCCTTCTATCACACGGGCAAATATCCCCGCGCGATTTGCAGTGGGACTTGATGACAGCTGCAGAAACGGTTTAAAACTTACCACAACCAAAGGAAAGTTAAAGTTTGACCGAAAATTGATAAAATTGCAAGGAGCCTGAACCTCCGACGGGTCGTATTCGATAAAAAGTTGACAGGAAAACTGAATCGATTTAAGTTTATCGGGAGTCTCTTTTAAAAGAAATTTGCATAAAAGAATGCGCAATATGTGACCAACAGTGTTGATGACTTAGCAACCCAAGAAATCTGAATATTCATTTCATGTGTTGTTGAAATAATTCTCTCCTTAGGCTTAATGACGTCATAGTGTTAAGATTAGATCAAGAGTTTAATGAACAATAGGAACAACATTAATTAAAAGTAGGTAGAACTCATCAAAGGTTGCTCTTCACATTTATGTGTTCTACTCAGTCTCTAAGATGAAGTCGCGCGGTCGTTCGCCTAAACCTTGTTCATTTCACGAGGACATTAACGAGTTATTCTTACTTTTATTATTATTATTACTATCATTAAAATTAATGTCATTGTTATCATTATCATTGCTATTATTATTATCATCAAAATCACTACAACTATTATGCAATTATCTCCAGTTTTTTTCTGTTTTTCTGGGTCTTCTAACTTAAGTTCCAGGAGCTCTGGCAGCTTAGGGCCACAACACTTACGCAACTCAAGGGGAGTTTTGAGGATAGCCGACGACTGCGCACCCCCAATTAAGTTAACTGTTTATCTAGCTTCCAATACTAGGTCCCTATTCGAGATAGTACAAAGTGCACGATGGTTACCGCTGTCACTTTTGATGCTCGATGAATTCTTTGACTTCGAATTATACTTTTTCACCTTCTCCTTCTCGGCCCTGATGATATTCTGATCTGCTGACAGAGCTGTGTCAATAAATGACCACTCCCGAGTGTCTTGATACACTCCTGTAATGTGTGACTGATTGTGTTTCAGTTCCTTCTCTAGGAATACGGTCGAGTCCCAGGTTATCCTCATGGCTTCATTGACTGCGACTAGCGAGGGTTGATGGTTGCTCCTCTCTCGACCGTGTACTTTAGCATTTGGACAAATATTTCGTTTTGGCTCTTTACCACGAGTAAGAGCTTGTATCTTGGGCTCATTCATGAACTGTCTATTATGTGTAAATACATCAAAAGATTAATCAAACTTTCGTTTTGCACTGATTATGTTTTGAGATCTACGCTTCCGATTGATCAATCGCTCTTTCTGGTTCAAACTTCAGCTCACATTTGACAATCTCATCAAGGTCACTAAACTATCGTACGTAACTGGGTAAAGTCTCCTAGATGATATTCTGGGTGCAGTCTCCTAGTCTCTTAGTCATTGCGACTGCTGTCTCATAACGCAGCGTTGTATGTGTAGTCACTTTCTCTTACTTGTTCATTTTAGAAAAGGAAATATAAAGAAAAGAGATTCGATTATTCATTATTTAATTATTCATTCATTAGCACCTAAGATTACCACTAATCGAGCAAAAAGCTTTTGATTTGCCTCTGAAAATTTTATGATTCTCTAACTTTTGTCTTCCTCTCTAAAACCGGTTCCTTAAAAGGCCTGTATTCTGTGAGCTATCACTTTTAATAGCTTCCTCTTTTACATAACAAAAGTTGTTCGTAGTTAATTAGTGAACCCTCTTTGAGTCCTATGAATGGACGTATGTCCCTCGAGGGGTACCTACGTTCGCTAGCGTTTCATAGCGACTACAACTATTTGCTTGTTTTGTCAATGGCTACCCTACTAAGCTACATAGCAGCCATTTTACCCCGACTGTTATTTGTGGCTCACAGTATTGTAGCCTTGTGGCTTCTAGTAAAATTCAGTCAAGGTCAGACTATTTTTTGGGGTTTCTGTGTCGGCCTGGTATGCCTGTTCGTGGAGTCCATTTACACCATTCTTGTGCGCAAAGGAGTGGAGTACAAGTAGTGAGTATATCATCTTCTAAATCAAACTGAGTGTTTTTCGAACCTTAACTTTCGCTTTAATTTAGTGACACCTTGGTATGGTTTATAACATGAGACAACTAATCATTACATTGATTAGCAAGGCCTATATTTTTACGGATCACCTTAATTCTAGAACAGCCGAGTGCAGTCAACACTTGGCGTTTTACAATACCTTGAATATCATTCACTCACACGCCTTTTGACTTCTAGGTGACACTTGCTGTAACACTAATCAAAAACGCTCTCTCCCCAAGTTTCTGTTTTACGGACGGTTTTAAGGCAAAGTTTTGACAATAATACCTCAACAGGGTGCATGAAATGGTCGAGTTCTGCTCGTATCAGACTGGTATCCAGCTTATGGTATTTTGAGCAAACAGTTTGAAAAGAATGTTCCTTTACCTATCCTGTCTGTGTTGTGGTCTTAAAAGGATTAACACTTGCGATCAAACGTTTCACAAATGCATGATGTATTAGCTAGACATGTAATTTACATGAACTTGCTCATGCATTATATTCCGGAGCTTGAAAAGAATTCATATTTCATAATACAATTAACATACACCGATTTTCTGGAACATGAAAGTCCACCATTTGATTCTAAGCTCGTTTGTGAGACTCGCCATCTATACCGTCACCTCAATTTAAATTTCATGGGTTCAGAAACTTTTCTACAGTTCTATCTAGCGTTATGCTCCTTTTCTTTCTTGCCAGCAGATTCGCGAAAGTTGAGAATAATCTAACATCCCAGTCGCAAAGGCAAATTTTATCACATCAAATCTTTTTTCATGTAGGTATGGAAAAACAATCTTAGAAATAAAAAGAAAAAAAGAATCTATAGGAAGCAGATCTGTAAAAGTTTCGACTTAAATACTTAAATTCCTTTCATTCCTTTTATCCCCAGATAAAATAGACTTTCTCCCACATCCGATCAAACTATGATCGCTTTTAATGAAGTGTTGCATTACCAATGGTATCGCTCCGATCGATGAATGCTTGATATCATGATAGTCTATTCAAATTTATTTCCTTTGTCAGAACCGTAAGCTGCCAATTACGGTGATAACTGAAGCTTCCCGGCTCAGTTTTCAACTACTGAGGAGATGACCTGACTTGAAGAGAATTAATGTAAAAATTTTATATTTTAGTGAAAAGTCGTGAAAAGCCATCAAATGTTTTAATTAAAAAGAAGAGTATGAAGTCGCTTTAACGCAGTCCGGATGTTTGACGACGTGTTTCTTCAAATGGCATTTATATTAACGGCTAAGAAAGGAGATACCAAAACCACGTGTGACGAAAGTCTCTTAAAAAAGAAACACATTTTCACTTTGTAAGAAGATTCTTAGGACTCAATCTTTCATTCTGTCTCACATAATTTCATTGATTTATTCATTGGCTGCCTATTTTTGTTTGGTAGGTTTTAAATAGGTTTTTAAAAAGTAATATTTCCTCACCACAAGGAGTGATCAAAATAAACGAAACGGCGAGTGAATGGCCTGCTTTGAGGATTTTCCAGTTTTTTTTTTCACAGTGTAGTTTAATAGGGCTTGAAGAAGTGCAGCGGAAACAGTTCAAAACTTAAAACTAAGCCTATCCGAAATTAAGCGAGCGCCATGGTCCTCTAAATAATTATGATTTCGATTTCATGGTGATGCTTGAATAGCAACTGTTATCAAAATATTTAGAAAAGTATTTATCTGACCAGTTTAGCGAGGAAATTTTCTGAGAAACCTACAATATTTGTTTTGATCCACTACGCTGGCGGTTTCATTGGCTTGATCTAGAAAATTTAAATTCATGCTAAGGAATCAATGGGTTAGGTCAGGGTGATATGTTAGGTTTACTGCAGCAGTCACAGAGTATCATTCAAATGACTCTGGATTTTTCTATCACTTTATAAATTTTTCAGTGCCTTAAACTGTTCCAACTATGACAATATATCACTACATTGAAGTTCTAGTCATGCCAAATAATTCCCTGTGCCGCGAACCCCTGATTTTTAAGTATACGTAATTTTCTTAGTGGTAGTTGGTCAAATTTTCATTTTCTCCTTATTGCAGCTTTTGGCCAAGTTGTTTTTTCTACCTTTGTACCCTTCTACCCATTACTTGGTTTGCTGAGTTAACTCTACTGGAAGGAAGACTAAATAACGTAACTGATGAGAAAATAATGATTGTTTCTATGGCGCAAACGGTAAGTCAGTAACAGAAAAGAAAGCGATACGAGCGTGACTTTTCAATCGCCTGAAAAGTTGGCAGAATATGATGCAAAAATTCGGGCTGAAAAAATCTTAAGCCACCGTAACATCTGAGCTTTCCTGACATAATTAATGAGGACCTCACCTTATTTCAAAGGATGTAACATGCCGACATGACCATATCTATTCGACAGAAGCCTTGCCATTCCAAACACGGCCGCGATAACTGGTTTGGCAAGGAGAGAAAAGGAATCTTTTGGAGAGATACATGTAATTTTACTAGACAAGTGTCGTCAGGAAATTGTTCTCGATTTTTTAACCGTGGCGCAAGCAGGGTTTTTTTACGGAAGGAGGACACCAAACTCAGCAGCGTTTTACTGGTATGACAGATCGTTTCGCCATTTCAAGCACTGAACTATAGCATTTGATAAATAAGTTCACCGAACCAGAGTATTTACCTCAAGTCAAAGAAAAAAGAATAGATTCTTCCAAGTACAATCTATATGGTGGTCGGTTGTTTGCCTTGGCTTCAGCAATAGTGTGGAACTCTCTCACACAGTCATTAAGAGACTGGCAATCAGTTGAAACTTTTAAACGGAAACTTAAAGAACATTTATTTTTACGGGCTTACATGGAAAATTGAATTTTCATTGTTGTTGTACTTTTTGTAAATAATATTTTATTTTCATAGACATAGTTAGGTAATATATAGTTTTTAATCATAATTCCCTTCCGTGAAGCGTTCTTGGACCACTAGGAAAAGACGCTATATAAATGTATTATTATTATTATTATTATTATTATTATTATTGTTGTTGTTGTTATTATTATAGTCCTGCGATAACAAAAAGACATAGAAACAAATAGGTTAGTAAGGCCTTGATGTTTGCGATGCATGAACAAAACTTGTTAAGTTCGTGGAATCATCTTTTTCTTGGTAAATAATAAATGTGCATATTGACTTCCTGCTTCAGTTCTACGTTGGGCAAGAGGAGCTGAAGAAGTTTTGTGAGATTGGGTTGATGTTAATCATCATCTTGGGTCGGTGGATGCTTCCTCGTGGTGCAATAACACGCGACCAGCTGTCGATCCTTCTTCTTGAATACGTGGCCATTGCAGCCGATATTTTAGAGTTGTTCGAGGCTTTTGAAGATGATCAGGTGAGAGAGTTTTATACCATACGAAATGTGTGCAATAAATAAAGGCATCTAAGTAGACCTTTCACACGAAGGACATGATTCCTTTCACCAGTTCCTAATGGAGAGCGACTCATTTGAGCTTAACCTTTGCCTACTTTTTGATTAAAGCAAAACAGTATATGTAACTCCATTTTGGTTTGATTGCAGGTAGCCCGCAATAAGGATATAACATTGGCTACCCTGGGAGTGTTTTCATGGAGTCTTTTTCAATTCACTTTGGTGACTACGTCAATGGGGATGAACATTGAAGATCAAGAAGAAGAAAATCTACCACAAGTATAAAAACAATTCGTAAATTGAGTTTGAACATCTATATTATCTCATTATTTGCTTTAAATTTGCCACTGACTTTGAGAATTGCTTCTCATTTTCTCCAGAATGGAAACTATTTATGGGTTGAAGATGGTTTGAACAGAAGATATCTCCGAAAAGCTTCTGAGGCTAGGAAACACGAAAGAAAAAAACAACGTAGACAATTGTATCAATTGTACAATGAAGACGAAGAAATGAGAAAACTTGAACTCCAAGGAGACCGATATGGTATCATAGCGGCCATGTTTATGCAAGATGGCCCTTTCCTAATCCTTCGACTTTATCTTGTCTTCAAATACGACTTCCTAATAGACTCCAAATTTTTGTTTTACATCGGCAAGAATTTAATTTCCCTTGTTTTGATGATATATCGTCTTTACGTAATTCACTTTCATAGTAAAGAGGAGGAATTCGCCTTGCCAACAAAACGATCATTTCGAAACCTTTCCTCTATGCTGATAGGAGCTCAGAGGTTCAAGTCAAGAAAATCAAACCCAAGGAAACAAAGCCAGCCAAGCAAGTAAAAGACTTGAGCAGGCTGCAATGGATTTAGAGTGTTTCAACAATACTTGCGTGTTAAAGTGGTGAAAATCTGCTTAAGTTGTCGAAAAGGGCCACTTTCTAACAGTCAGTGACCCTCACCCGTACGATCACATTACAATGCCACGCAATCAAATAATTCTTCTCTCTATTTGTTGTAATCTACTTCTCTTGGCTTGAAGTCAATTGCATTTTATGTGAAATGGCTGAATATAAGAAAACAGTTTTATCTAAATTTCAAATTTTGTTGAAATAAACACATTTTTTCCTTTAAGTTGAACAAAAGACAAAAAGTATATTTAGATGTCATTTCCTTAATTGGAATGAAGAGTTGCACATGAGTGTTTTTAAGATGAGTATTTCTTCAAAATCATTCAGTTTAGATAGTAGCAGAAATAGTTACAAGATTATTGCTTGTCTCTGGACTAGACTCTGACCATCTTGTGAACATGCCACCAAAGATAATAATCTCCCCTCTAGCAACCACAACAGAATGTAAAGAAGTAGCAGGAAGAGAGCACTGCATTTCTGGAGGAGGTTTCCAAGAACATGAAAAATGTGAGCGTATTTGACTACAGTCTAAAACAAATGTTTGCATGGGCAAAAACCCGTCAAGACCTGGCCTCTGCCCAGCTCCAAGACTGCCTTCAGGAGAGAGTACATGTCCTTGATGGCGAGGTACACTAAACACAAGAACTGTGTCCTTGATGTAGACTGCAGGATGACACCATAACTGGGGAGCTTCCCACTGACGGTTCTTCACTTCCAACTCTTGCCAGATCCATTCATTTGTGTCCAGAATCCAAACATCCCCAAATAACTAAAATGGAAAAATGAACCTTATAAACAAACACTATCACAATTGACTTCAATGTACTACTCAAAGTAAAAAAATATCTCTTCAACTGGAAGCACATTATTAACAAGTGCACAAATAAATAAATACAACTTATGTGGGCTGAAAATAAACCAAAAATGTTACAAAACAGCCTCTAGGTCTCATATTCTTAACCATTATTGATAGCTCTCATGAAATTTATTCTCAAGTTGTGTAGCCCCCAAGAGAAAGTTGATGGTAATGGAAGTACATGTTACTGAAGGCTCAAGCTGCTTACAAGGTTTGGGAAATACTTTCCAAGCAGAAAATTGGAAAATAAATGCATCATATTAGATGTTTGGGTGTGTAGTATTGCTGAGTATCTTTACGAGTTGTGTTGTATTTTGCAAGACTGTAGGGCGAGTCAAAATACAAACAACAAGTCAAAATGCCAAGTGACACTACACACCAAAATGTCTAATAAGTTTTTTAATATCTGACTACTTTTTTCAAGCTAAGTCTCTCTGTTCATTTCTCATAAGGCAGGAAAAGCAAAGCAAATTGAGAAGCATAGAATACACAGCCAACTGGTTAAACAGGATTTTTACAGTACAAAATAACCAACAGTCCAAATAACCATACAATATTGCAGGATATTTGTACTCTCTTTACACATTATTATACTCTACTTTGTGCAGTTGGATACTTAAAGAGACTTTTGCCTATTTGCTTAAATTTAAGAATAGAGCCACACAAAACCAACACAGTAATGATAGGTGCCAACAGCCTCTAAATTAGTGTTAAATTAATTAAACAAGTCTCATTTTAAGGTCATCAAGATGGGTTTCCAATGATCAAAAATCTACTAATTCAATATCTTGATAGATTTAATTTTTCAACTTATGTGAAGTTTTTTTTAAAGAAATATTGTAAATACTATGAAACTATACCAATTAGCATTTGGTTCTCACCAAGTTTGGTCCACCACATCCACCAATCATAAGTACTGTGTGATCATCTAACACCATCTAAAGAAGATCAAACCAAGTCAAAATTCATTTTTTTTTTTTCAAAGCTTAAAACGATTTTAACCTATACAAAGAGATAACACAAGCCCAAACACAAAGATACAAAATGGTAAATTTATATGATATTTTGAGAACAAGTATAGAGATTGGGTGAAAAAGATGAAATTGCTTTAAGGTACAACACTTAATACTCTCCATAAACTATACCCAATGGTTAGCATTTGGCTGGCCACACAGCACCTTAAATCATCCAACAATTTGAGCATTGTAAAGCAAAAGCTATCAAAAAAAGGCTAATGCAATAACTTTTTACTGGCCTTTGGAATTCCCACTAGAAGCAGTTTGCTCCCTTTTATTCTACTGCACCCTTTTCCTGACCCAAATTAAAAAAAATTTATTTCCTCCTCTTGTTATTGGTAAACAGGGGAATATTTCTGGTACTTTTGCAAGGCTGAAGTGTCATTGTTATCCTTAATTATTTTGGAGTTTTTTTCTTAAACAATATTCTTTACTTTTCAATAATTTCAAACTGTATTTGGTTTTTCCTTAGGTATATCTTGTTCCTTAGAAATTATCAGTGCTAGTGATATTGTTGATAACCTTACTAGTGAAGATACAAAAAACTTGCTGCTAAGGTCCTGGAATTTTGTTTATCAGTGGTGTATTTTATGATAAAACACTTGGTCCATACAATAAATAAGATTATTACTCCAATAATGATAAATACTGTGATTTTGTTACTGAAAAGGTAAATTAAGAAAAAAATCCACTGTATTGCATTACAAGCAGGCAAAAAATTTTTCTTGGAGTACATCAGCTTGAGGCATTGAAATACCTGTGAATGGCCAAATCTTCCAGATGGTTTTTTTCCTCTTATGCTGGGACAACTCCATGTCATGTTTACCATGTCTAAAACCCAAACATCATTGAACCTAACAAAATTACAAGTTCAGGTAAAAACACATTAGTGACGGTGACCTGGCTCACATCTCGCACGTTTTAAAGTCTTGTTTTCAGCTACTCCTTCTCTTCCTGGAGCTTGCAGCAACCTTTATTGTATAGTATAAAAAAAGCAATATTCTGATGGCACTAATTGCATGCTTAATCAATATTGAAACAAAGAAAAGTGCCTAGGAGAAATGCTGCCCAGGGAACCAAACACACAACCTTCAGAAATGTAAACCAAGATTGCAGGCTTCAAAATGTTTTTGATACCAAAGCCACATAAGCCTATGAAATTACTTATTAAATTACAATAGTCAATGAAGGCCCAATTGAATATACTTAAAAAGACAAAACCTGTGCATTGTTGGTCCTTCACCTCTTTAGAGATTGAAGTTAGGAGAGCTATCAGGTCAGAAAAAGCTATCAGAAAAAAGGTCAATTATTTTCTCCGTAATTACATACTTAAATACAAACCAGACAATTTGCTAATGCATTCTGAAAACCATAGAATGTATGCAGTTGTTGACAGCTGTTGCTGGATGCCTGAAATACTCTTACTAAGTGTGAATGGGAATAGCAAATAAAATTGTTTTCGTGAAACTCAGCATTTTAATAGTACGGAGAAGTACTGATACTCCTTGATGCGTCCAAGTTACATGACTTTTGTTAAGATATCTGAACTAAGAAGCGACGACTATCTCCCCCAAATTTACACACAACTGCACTGGTCATAAAACTGAAAGATAGTCTGACCTCAAATGTCTTTGAGCTCCTCCAAACACAACCATGCTGTGACCCAAGGCACAAGCTGCATGTCCCGCTCTCTTGCATGGCCGTGGCCCATTTAGGTTAACAGCAGGTGAACTCCATGTCTGACTATGAGTGTTAAAAATGTACAAGTCATCAAAAAATTTTGCTGCAGAATTGATTCCTGTCCTAGCAGGCTGACACCAGCCACCAAATATGACAATATCCCTGTTATCATACGCCACAACAGTTGCACATTCTTTCGGAGGAGGAGGAGATCCTGAACTACGAAGCTTCTTCCACCGCCCTTCCCTTAGATCAAGACAATGTAGATCATTAAAAGCCTTGTTTGATGAGGAGCAACCTCCATATATATACATTTTAGTTCCTATGATACAACAACTGTGGGAAAACCGTGGAAAAGGTGATTCTCTTGACTTTATGCTCACTGTTTGAAAACGTAAATTACCACTTCTCACAGCGTCTCGAAAATTTTGTATGCGTTGATTGCAAATCCTAGAAATCAAACGATACCATAAACGACACACGCATTTAGCGTCACATAAGTCACCATATGGTGACAAGTAAGACATTATCTTTTCAACAATTTCGTTGGGAAGACCTGAAAAGTAACATACTGTTTCGATTCCCATCGCGTCCGCCATACTGTTTGATTGAATATTACACAATAATTCCGTTTAAATGATGTAGTATTCTTTCGATTAAGGTCTGAGCTGGTTCGTACCAGGTCCTCGGTTGAGGGTCGCGTTGAGTTCATGATGTAATTGCATAATTCCGAACAGTTCAGAAGATCGAGGTGGTTTGTAGGGATCGGCTAGAGAAAAGAAACAAACAGCAACCATAAGGTAAAGATAGACAGTGTAATACCAACTAAAATGACGGAGGAGGAGGTATTTACTGTGGCTCCAAAAGATTCTGAGAAGGATGAGCTTCTTCCAAGCCGTTCAAAATCATCGCCAAGCTCAGGCTGTACATTCTGGTTGGTGTTTACAGCAGCTGTTATAGTGTTCGGCTCGTCTTTTCAATTTGGATATGGTACTTCGTGTATCAATGGACCAGAAACGGTAAAATCTACGGGATACTGCTTTTAAACGCATTGCAATGAACTATTACTTAACTGATGGTATACTATACAAATGTTATTTATGGCTATTTTATTTTTGAGTTAATTTTCTTATTCAAAAAAAGACAACTCTATGTTAGCGTGTAGAGTGGTATGTTGCTTGCACCAATCAGATTGCTGCATAAGGGTACATACCTCACACCTATCAGATTGCTGCAGTAGGGTATATATCATGCAACAATCATATCACAGCATTTGGATATCTTGCACCAATCACAGTGGTGGGGTATGGTCTTTTTTCAAATGATGTCATGGAATGAGGGGGCTGTGCACAGAGAATGACAATAACCAAAAATTTTGGGCTCATTTGATGAGTATAACAGTTTGTAGTGTTCATAAGGACCTCATTGATTAAGGTCGAGATTTATCACAGTATGAAAGGTTTGCATTTAACCTTTTGTGTCATTTCAAAGTTGAAACATGTTTTTCTGCTTCCTTACTCACAATGCACATACCAACATGTGTGACAGAATTGAAGTTCGCTTTCTGTAGTAAAATTCACACACTGTATGACAGAATTGAAGTTAGCTTTCTGTAGTAAAATTACTTGGAATAATACTTTTGAGGCAACTAACCGTAGACGAATAATAGAG